TAATTTTGATAACATTTTATTGATGCTGGTTTATATATATATATATATATATCTTAAGTGTGTGTAATAAAATATAATATATATATATATTAAGTGTAGGTATCTCCAAACAGTTTCTGAAAAAGAGCATACCATGATGAAAAAATGCCCCCAAACTTTATAAAGTTTATTGTCAAAATGTTTGTTTTTACTAAGAGAAAAGACCAAAGTATTTTGTGATTATTTTATTAAATTTTTTAATCCTTTCTAGCACATTTGAAATTTTGGTAAAATATTTTGTTTTTCTTGCGTCAGCAGGTGGACCAAAGATTTGTATAGGGATTTTTAGCATCTTTCTTTTTTTATGTTAAAAACACATTGTTTTGAAACTTCTTGCAAAAATCAAATAATTGTCAGATTTTAATTAAAGTTTCAGGACTTATTCACAAATGAATGAAATCATTTTTGAATTTTTTTTAGAAAATATGTTAAAAATTTTTTTTTTATCTGTTACCCCACTTACTTAATTTTATGAAATTTTGAGAAATTAAAATTCCACACACTTCATATTTATATTAATTAAAAGCAGGTGTCCTTGGAGAATTTAAATCATCAATTTGTTTTTGTCAAACAGAAATACCATTTAGTAAAACTTTGCTCTGAATTGTAAAATAAAAAATGCAATAAAACTATGATATTATTTAATTCGGAAAGATTTTAATTACTTTTATAAATAAGATATATTAAGGACACTATTGTGTTAAAAAAAATAAATTTTCAATGATTAATGAGTTTTTAGAAGATTTTTTTTTATTTTTTAAAAATTCTAATTAGAAAAATTTATTGTTTTAAATCTTTTAAACTTCTGTATTAATTTCAGACCTTTAGATGATATTATTAAGTGAAGACTATATTTACTAATCATAAATGGAAAAGCTTAATACAAATCATCAAACACCAATATTTTAAAAAGAATTTTGAATTTTTTTGTATGTGTATAACTGAGCCGAGTTTTACCATACACAACATTATCAGAAAATAAGTGTGATAGCTATAGTAAATTTAGAGCCAACATTTCTAAAATTCAATAAAACAGTAGATTACAGAGAATATTTTCCAAAATTTTAAAGATTACTGAGTAGTTAAAAATTATATAAAAAGGTGCTCACATCATTTTCTTCAATTATGTTTTACAGTTAAAGTCTCCATAGAACAACATTAGATCTGTAATCAAACTGTCAACATGTCAACACAGCTACTGTTAAGTTAAAAAGTGCATTTCTGCAATATTTTAAGTTTAAAGTAAACAATATTTGTTTCAAATCAGATTAATTATACTTTAAATCAGCCGATATTCCTCAAATAAAGTTTCAGAAAGTATATTTTAGCTATGGAAGATTTTTTGATAAAGAGAATTACATTGTGATAAAAGACAATTAAAAAAGGGCACTAATCAGGGCAAAAAAAAGAAAAAAACCTCCTAATCAGTCAATTTAAATTAGTTTTTGAAATACAGCAAAGTATTTTGCTTATTGGAACTATTAAATTAAATTTTTAAATCACATTTTTTTGTGGACATCCCTAATTAAGTGTGTGTAATAAAATGTATATACATATATATATATATTATTATTATTATTATTACTGATGATTGCTATACTTTGCTTCAAATTAGATCTCTTTTTGATTCACTCCACACAAAAAAATTTCAGCTAAGCACTACAAAAAGCTAAATTAAAAATAAAAAAAGTCACTATTTGTGCAAGATCTCTGAGCATCGTATTTCCCCCAAAATATGAAATAAAATTCTCATCTTTGTTGCCATATTTATTACAATGTTTCAGCTGTTGTACACTCCAGCCTTCTTCAGGTGGTTGGAATGTCGAACTGAACCCTTTATTTCATTCACTGGGGTAGACTGTTCTAGTTCCACATGCCATGTGTCCTCAAGGACACATGGCACAGTGGATAAAGGTGTTGGAGAACTTGGAGAGGGGAATTAACAGGAGATAACTGACATCTATTAAACATGGCATGTGGAACTAGAACAGTCTACCCCAGTGAGCGAAATAGTGTTCAGTTCAACAGTTCTTTGTTAGGGAACTTCTTTTTTTGATTTAGGCGGGGGATTTTCCTGATTTCCGGTACATATTTAAATATAAATTGCTCAATACTTTCAGCTTGTATAAGGTTCAAAGCAAAGAACTTTTGTTTTTGTGCTATGTCGTTTCATCATTTTCAATTATAGCTTCTTTGCATCTTCATGTGACAGTTGATGTTACCATTTTAATTTTTTTTACTAATGAAATAGATTAAATATGTTAGTTTCTAATTTTGATAACATTTTATTGATGCTGGTTTATATATATATATATAGACTGTTCTATTTCCATATGCCATGTGTCCTCAAACACATGGCACAGTGGATAAAGTGTTGGAGAACTTGGAGAGGGGAATTAACAGGAGATAACTGACATCTATTAAACATGGCATGTGGAACTAGAACAGTCTACCCCAGTGAGCGAAATAAAGTGTTCAGTTCAACATTCCAACCACCTGAAGAAGGCCAGAGTGTACAATGGCCGAAACGTTGTAATAAATATGGTGACAAAGATGAGGACAATAGTCTGAATAATGTAACTAGTGTACATAATACCTCATTTCAGAAATATAGACAGATAAAATTCATCTGCATTAGAAAAAAAATATCTTCTGATGCAGTTGGTTTATTTGCATTTAAGGAAAATATATATGTGGAATCATCAAGTCACAAGTCCCATAAGCTGTTAGGATTGCAGTGGCACCACATGTACTGTAACCATAGCAGCAGTGGCATGTCTAGGGCAAGGTAACCTGACAGAGCCCATCTCCAGGCAGGTTTTAAATTCAGAACTTTCCTTCTCTTAGATGGGTTGACACCTCAAGGCAAGAGAACCCATAACCTTAGGAAGAAGAGATGAAATTTATAACTCCTCCAAATATATTTGTGTGAAAGTGAACACAACTCGGTTGGAATTCAAACCTGTCATATATCATCATCATCATCAGCCAAACAATACAAAGTAATATGCAGGTAGTTCACAGAGTTCACCTCTTAATCAACCGACCTGATACAAGCCTCAATGCCAGACCTGTACGCAAAAACTTTCCCATCTTTCATATCACTTCTCTCACCCAAAAAAGAGACATTCAGCCTTGATCACAGTAATATAGTATATATAGACATTCAGCCTTGATATCAGTAATATAGCAATTTTATTTTTACATATCTTGTCTCCTTTTCTTTCCAAATCACTGGCAATATTTTATTGTTTTCACTTGTTATTCTTACAACCACATGCAGTATATAACAACATACACTTTGTAGTGGGCCATTTGTAGGGGTGGATAGCGATGGCTGGTATGTTGTTGATAGAAGACAGACGTGGACGAAACGCCTGTAAGGTTCAGATTCTCCTGCTAGCCGGCCCAACTACATAAAAAGTTTGGACTTGGTTAAGTCCAAAGAAGAAGGAAAAGAAAGCAAACAAAAACAAGACCGATAATATATGTATACACAACAAATATATATTCATAACAAGTTACAATACAAGAAAACAGTACAAAGGACAAAGTGTGTGGGAATATTCCGTGTGCGAGCGTGTGTGTGTTGTGCTTAGCGTGATTTCACGCTATTTCTTGTTAGGGGCTACATTTTGAGGTTGATAGTTGAAATCCTCTAGGAAGAAGAGAAATTTACCTCGGTGCGTTAGTGCACAAGCCTGAAAAGTAAAAGAGAGATCGAAGCGAGGGTCATTGGCTATTTATAGCCAGGAAAGAGAGACCTCTGGTGAAAGGGTTACAAACTGAAGGAGGAGGTAACTCCGACAATACCCCCACCAGATTAAAGGTTGTAAGGAAATGAAAACTTTTAATATATAAAGAAAAAAGGTTCGTTAAAGTCTGAATATTGTTCTTGTGGGCTGAAAAGAAAATGTGTCAGAAGTGTGGCTGAGATTCGTGATTCGACGAAATGTAGTGTTGTCTCAGGGTGCAGTGTTATATTTCAGTGAGTTAGAATTGGGCACGTCCTGTAAAATGCGTCGGTAGTGGTCTGCGTTGCTATCAAAATTTGTCTTTTTTGCTCCACGTTGAGTTGGTTGTGTCGATCTATGCACCTGTCTGCTGGCTTGTTTTGTAGTTGGTTTGAAAAACGGGTGGTTCGTGGGGTATCATCGGCGCACTAAAGTTAATAGACGCAGCGTATTCGTGAAGTTGAGCTGAATTTCTACCGAGTGTCGAATGCATGTTTGAGAGAATTTGCTGGTATTGTCGATAGAGTATCGTTCTGGCAAAATCTCGGTTTGTTTGAGTCGCGTAATTGCAGAATGAGATGAAGGACGGTGAATTGCCTTTTAAGACTGCATTGGACATTTGAAATATGTGCAATGTTTAGCACAATGTGAGTGGATGTGTAGTCAGTTGAAGTTGTGTTGACTAGAATGTCCACGTGTGTTTGAGAAGAATGAGAAGCAAGCAGTGGCGTGAAGATATCGCCACGTGGTGTAAGTTGAGTGTTGCTTCATGTCAGAATCACGAATGTTGTTTAGAAAATGAGACAGTGAGTCGTCTGCAATGGTTTGGAATCACCAATCGTATATAATGGAACAGTGAGTCGTCCAGTGGTTTGGTTCACACTTTTTTCTATTTCAGTCCAGAAGAAAACAGTGTTAGTAGAAAATAGCGTTGTTTTCCGTTTGGTACAGCCTTAAGCATGTCTGCCGAGAGAAAGAAAGGGTCAAGCAAATATAGACCAGTGGGTAAAGAGTTCTAAAGGTTCGTCTTCAATAGTAGTAATTGTTGTTCTTTCGTTGATAGTGTACGAAAAGAAGTTTTTCTCAATTTTTTTTTCCTATCTGGCTCTCTTTTTGGGAAGGTGTGTGTATAAGAAATTGTTTGTTTTTGTACATATATAACGTCTTGTGTGTTTTTTAGCAGGAGTGGAAAAATCACGTCCGTTGTAGACGATGGAAATCGTGTCTTTATTCGCAAACGGTGGATGGTAAGCAGACAGAGGTCGTTTGAACGGTGTCCGGACGATAACGGGCGCTAGACGTCAGTGGGCACTGGATAAGGTCGTCAGCGGGTGCTGGAATAGTCGCGGGACGTGCTGGAAGGTGCAGGAGTGCTGGAGCTGTGCTGGAGCCTCGAAGAGGGTGATCGAATGACATTCGGAAGTTAGCCCTGAAAAGGACTGTTTGAACAACTGCTGCTGGGTCCCGACAGCTGCTGGGCTTGGTCGACTTGACTGGGAGCGTCAAAGTCGCGAATAGGGAGGCTTCCTGCTCCCCCAGGCCGGTTAAAAACCGGCGCGAAGTCTCAGGATATAGGTATGACGGTTCATACAAGAGAAAGCGGTGACGCTAAACAAGTAAATGAATAGTAATTAATTCCGGGCCGTATTAATTACAGTCAAAGGTGTTCGGAGTTTGTTGACTGTATTTACATTAACTTCGTTTCGGAATTAAAGGTCTTTTATTTTTGTTTAGTGGCGAAAATTGAGTTTTTGTGTGTTTCTGAAGGTTTGAAAGGATGTCGTTGCTATTTTTAGCACACAACGACCGTGACCTTTCTCTATCAGCAGGCATAGCCGGGGTTGTTTAAGAAACGGATGGGAGTGGTGTTTGGGCACACTGCGACAAGGCCCTCTCCCAGGATAATTGATCATTATCAATTAGAAGAAAATATATGTCTTGTACTTCTTAGGAAGGTGACTTTCCTTCCAAGACGGGTCTGCTTAGGTGGAGTGATGGGTGATTCTGGGATTGGCTCCGACCTCGGTTTTGACAGTTGCGATTGCGTGGTTGTTGAGGCAGGTGAGGGTTCTGGGTGTGTTGAGACGGGTTCTGTCTCCCGTGGGGATTTTTCCAGAAAAGCTGGTTTGACTCTGTCGATGGAGATGGTGTCCGTCCGGCTTCCTCGATCAATGGTGAGATGCTTCTCAGAGCGTTTTAAGACTTTGAATGGACCCTGGTATGTTGGTGTTAGTGGTTTCTTTACCGCGTCATTTCGGACAAAAATGAACTCACAGTCCTGAAGCTGTTGTGGAACGTGGATAGCTGGTGATGATTGCCTGGGTGGTGTATACTTCAGTTGGGCCATTTTATGGCGAAGTTCCTGAGTGAAAGGACTTGCAGTGGTTAGGTTGGGTATGGTGTCGTCGAAATATTGGCCGGGTAAAGAGAGTGCTGTCCCGAAGACTATTTCGGCTGGAGTGCATTCTAAGTCTTCTTTGAGTGTGTTGCGGATTGACAAAAGGATTAGGGGTAGCTCGTCTACCCAGTTGCTGGTGGGATGTTTTGTAGTTAGAGAGGTCTTTAGTGTTCGGTGGAACCTTTCCACAAGGCCGTTTGCGCAGGGATGGTAGGCGGTGGTCTTGATGTGTTTGACGCCGAGCAGTTGAGTGAATTCCTGAAAGAGTGAGGACTGAAACTGCGCGCCGCGGTCTGTGGTGATGATGTTAGGTACGCCAAAAATTGCGATCCACTCCTGAAGGATGGTCTTTGCTACCGTGCTAGCCGAGGTATCTCTGATGGGTACTGCTACTGGCCACCTGGAGAAACGGTCGACCACTGTGAGGAGGTACTGATAATTCTGGCACATTGGGAGGGGTCCCACTATGTCGATGTGGATGTGGCTGAAACGTGCGTCAGGGTTGCTGAATGTGCCTGGCGGGGATTTTGTGTGCCGGTGTACCTTGCATTTCTGGCACTTAAGGCACGTTGATACCCAATTACGGATGTCAGTATTCATGTTGGGCCACGCGAAACGATCGGCAATGAGTTTGACCGTAGCGCGCTTGCTGGGATGTGACAATCCATGGAGGTGGTTGAAAACTTGCCTTCTGAGTGCCGGAGGTATGTAGGGTCTAGGGTGATCCAGTTTTGTATCGCAGTACACTATTTTGTTGCTGAAGGGGGCCGGAAATTCTTTCAGTTGCAGGGATGTGTTGGCTAGGACTTCAGGGAGGGTTGCGTCGGATTCCTGGGCCTCTGCTATCAGGTCCTGGCTGAGTGGGCTGTCTTGCACTGTGTTGACATCAAATCTGGATAGGGCATCGGCAACAGAGTTGTCTTTTCCTTTGACATGACGAATATCGGACGTGAACTGTGAGATATAGTCCAGATGTCTGATCTCGCGAGCCGTATATTTGTCCGAGTTGTTCGACAGGGAAGTTGTCAAGGGTTTGTGGTCGGTCAAAACGGTGAAATTCCGGCCTTCCAGTAGATGTCGGAAGTGTTTGATGGCGAGGTATATAGCCAAAAGTTCTTTCGAGAAGGTGCTGTATCTGGACTGGGCTGGTGATAATTTAGCCGAGAAGAATGCGATGGGTTTGCGTTGGTTGTCAACCTCCTGTTCTACCACAGCTCCAACTCCAGTGTCTGAGGCATCTGTTGTTAGATATATCTGAGTCCGGGTGTCTTCGTTAAGATGTGCTAACTTCGTAAAGTTAGCTAAAAAGTTTTTTGCTGCTTGAATGATTTTTCCTGGTCGCCTCCAGGGTGATGGCTTTGTTTTTCCTCTGGAGAAGATTTGTCAGGGGGTGAGGAGTTTTGAGCATCGGGGATAAACCTGCGGTAAAAAATTTACCATCCCCAAGAAGCGTCGCAGTTGCTTTATCGATGTGGGTATCAGGAAATCCTGTATGGCTTTTATCTTATCGGGAAGTGGGTGATTCCCTGAGCGTCTGTGTGGTGTCCGAGGAAGTCCATGTGTTGTGCACCGAATTCGCACTTGTCTGGGTTGATTCGGAGGCCGTAATGTGTTGAACGGCGGAACACTTCCTCCAGATGTTGTTTGTGGAGATCAGCGTCTCTGCTAGCCACTAGGATGTCATCAATGTATGCGTAGACGTATGGTAGTCCACGCAGAACTTCGTCCATCAGCCTCTGGAACGTCTGGGCTGCGTTGCGCAGTCCGAAGGGCATTTTTAGGAATTCGAACAGTCCAAAAGGGGTGGTGACTGCTGTCTTTGGGATGTCCTCCGGGCGACTGGAACTTGGTAGTAGGCTTTGGTCAGGTCAATTTTTGAGAAAATGCGGGCCCCTGTAAACCTGAGGCAAAGTCGTGGATATGCGGAACAGGATACCGGTCGGGCACTGTGGACGCGTTGAGTTTCCGGTAATCCACGCAGATCCTGAAATCCCCGTCGGATTTGGGTACCAGATGCAGTGGTGAGGCGTATGGGCTGTCTGAGGGTCGGATGATATGGTTGGCCAGCAACTCCTCAAACGCTTTCTTGGCATATGCTAATTTGTGTGGAGGGAGTCGTCGTGGCCGTGAATATGCTGGTTGTCCGGTGGTCTTTATATGGTGTTGGGTCTGATGGTCGCCTGCATCAGTTGGTTTGATGGGTTGCGTGAGGTGCTTGTACCGGTGCAGGATTTCTGCGTGGGGGTCGTGCTGTGTTGCCACGCTGATCCTAGTTGAGTTGAAGCTCGATGGGATCCCTGTGATCTTGATGGTTGTCATGTTGTCGGACAGGGTCCTTGTCTTCATATGGACAGCCAGGTTGTAATGTGCCAAGAAGTCGGCACTGAGCAAGGGTATCCTGACGTCAGCTACGTGAACGTCCACTTGAAGTCGCTACCCTGAGGTTGATGTTCAAGGTGAGTTCCTTGTTCCCATAGGTTTCTATGGTGGAGCCGTTTGCCGCTCGAAGTTGGAATGGGGTGGGTTTCAAGGCGGATCTGTTGGTGGGTGGTATTACGCTGATGGCTGCGCCAGTGTCAACCAGGAATTTGAGGCCATTGTTACGGTCCCACACGAAAGAGACGACTGTGGTGGAGCGAGCACCGACAGGGATCGTCATCGCTGCCTGTCGGTCTATTCGTTTCCCTGGGCCTTATTGCGTCTGCAGGAAGGGTGGCACTTGCGGGCTCGGTCACCGAAGGTTTGGTGGTACCAACATTCGTCCACACTGTTTTCTGTCCTGGACTTGAGCTCGGGTACGGCGGCGATTTCGCGTCGCGTGGTGTTGGGCTTCGTTGCTCGCATAGGGAGAGTTTCAGGTCTCTCAACTCTGCGCCGTAGTTGGGTCATCTCCTCTTCGAGGTTGTGTGTAGTTTCCTTGGCTCTCAATCTGGTGAACCTTTTGGTGAGCTTGGGAGTGCACTTTGTCGGCTGAGTCGGCCACTCGTCAAGGGGTGTCTCTACTGGTACCAGGGCTAGAACTTGTGTTATATTCGGTGGTAACCGATCCATCCATAGCCCTCGGAGGATGGGTTCTGCCATGGTGTTGTTCCCCGAGGGCGGCTCTTCATCAGGCGGAGGAGCTGGGATGGTGTCCCTATCGCCGAGAGACACATTGGAGAATAAGTCTCTGATGAGGTCTTCGTCCGAACGTCCAGTTCGTTTGAGAATGGCTTCTTTGAGGCAGGTGTATGGGAGTTGGTCCGGGGTATTGAGAAGGATGTCTTCCACTTCTTCGACGACTGATGCTGGTAAGGCTTGTACCACGGAGGCGATTTAGTGTCCTGTCGTGGTGACCTTCCGGCTGAAAATATCGCCGAGTTGAATAAACCAACTCCTGGTGTTGATCAAGTTGTATGGCGGTAGTTGTATCAGGGCGGCTGATGTGTTGATTTCTGTCTCGGTGTGTTCCGCCATCTTCTCTGCTAGCCGTTTGCCTGTGTCCATCGATCACGTCGGGGTCACCATTTGTAGTGGGCCATTTGTAGGGGTGGATAGCGATGGCTGGTATGTTGTTGATAGAAGACAGACGTGGACGAAACGCCTGTAAGGTTCAGATTCTCCTGCTAGCCGCCCAACTACATAAAAAAAAGTTTGGACTTGGTTAAGTCCAAAGAAGAAGGAAAAGAAAGCAAACAAAAAACAAGACCGATAATATATGTATACACAACAAATATATATTCATAACAAGTTACAATACAAGAAAACAGTACAAAGGACAAAGTGTGTGGGAATATTCCGTGTGTAAAAGGCAGTGTGTATTGTTTTTTAGCGTGATTTCACGCTATTTCTTGTTAGGGGCTACATTTTGAGGTTGATAGTTGAAATCCTCTAGGAAGAAGAGAAATTTACCTCGGTGCGTTAGTGCACAAGCCTGAAAAGTAAAAAGAGAGATCGAAGCGAAGGGTCATTGGCTATTTATAGCCAGGAAAGAGAGACCTCTGGTGAAAGGGTTACAAACTGAAGGAGGAGGTAACTCCGACAACTTATTACACTGGTCTTAAATGGGGTGTCAGGGTGGAATAGTTTGATCCTAGACAGAACAAACAGATTCTTTGGTTTTATTTTCATATTCACTCACATAATACCAGTAAAAAAATGAAGCAGTTATTTATGCTTTTATCTGCAATTCTGTATAAGACCAAAGAAAATGTCATCTATGTATTATATATATAGGGGGTTTATTAGTGTTATTAAGTATTTTATTTTCTAAATGTGCCATATAATAATTAGGGAAAAAAAGGGCATAAAGGAGATCCCATCGCAATACCATCTATTTGAGTATAAATATTACCCAGGGGGTCATAAAAAGATACTTCAGTGATATATGCTAATAATAATTTTTGTTAAAATAGTGGGTTTAATATTGATGAGGGTGAGAGAAGGGTGATTGTATACATCACGGATAATGATGTCAATTGTTTCATGGACTGGGACATTAGTAAATAAATTATAGTTATTTTTCTCTTGTAGTTATTTTCATATTCACTCACATAATACCAGTAAAAAAAATGAATCAGTTATTTATGCTTTTATCTACAATTCTGTATAACTACAAATTGGGACAAAATGTTACAGGCTTTGAGAAAGAAAATAGGTATTTCTCCCATAAGTAATGGGATTAAAAGCCAATAACTTTAGCTTATGCAGCTCAGCATATACTTTACTGAACATAAAAAAGGGAGATTAGAGATGGAGACAAGATTTACCTCCCTTATTTTGTTGACGTCATTAGAAATGAAAACAAACAAAAGATTATATAGTATGTTTGTTCAGGAGTAAAATATTATTTCATCAGTATTTGAATACTTCAGAATCCTCCTACAGATAACACCACGATCAAAGATTTAATTTTGATACATAAATTCTTTGAGATTAATAAATGACAAGGCCGTAGCATACTACTCCCG